TACGACTGGACGCATTCCTTACGATTATTTATTTATGCTCAACTACAGACAAACATGTACAGAGAAAGGGAAGAGATGAAGGGAACTGAGAAGAGAAGAGGAGGGAGAAAGAGGAGGATGGAGAGAGAAAGGCAAGAGGGGGTTATAACAAATCACTTCTGTGGTTCCTTTGCCACTTTTTGCCTGAGAGAAGGTGGAGCGAGAGGAGGAAAGAGAAGAAGGGAGAGGAGGGGGAGAGTGGAGGGAGAGGAGGGGTGACAGAGAGGAGTGATGGAGGATAGAGGAGGGAGGAGAGAGAAAAGGGGTGAGAGGGAGAGAGGAGGAGAGGGGGCAAACACAGCTCTGTTTCTCCTTGTCACTTTCTGCCTGAGAGAAAAAGGAGAGAGGAGGGAAAAAAGAGGAAGAGAGGAGGGTGGAGGGGTGGAGAGTGGAGAGAAGAGAGGGGGAAGACACAGAGAAGAGAAACCTGAGAGGGGAAGGTGAAAGGGGGAAAGAGAGGGAGAGGAGGAGAAAGGATGGAGAGAAGGAGAGCAGGACAAAGTCAGGTTAGTGATGACACCATGACACATGGAGCTCTGATGGTTCATGTTAGCAGCAGATTGGACTGTCACACCTGTTTTATGTGAAGAGGAGAGGAGGAGAGAGAGAGAGGAGAGGAGAGGAGAGGAGAGGGGAGAGGAGGAGAAAAGGAGGAAAATGACATCTTAAATCACATGTAACTGTTTCTATTCATCATTTTAAATGTATTTATTACATTTTGCAGCTGGAGCGCTGCTAACAGAAAGACACTTCACTAAATGACGTCTAAATATTCATAATGAACAAGGTGTTGTTCCCTCATCAAAAACAAGCCTGAAGAGGTTTAGAGTTATCTGTGCATGTTTGAGTAATTTAGTGATCTCTCCTGGGCCTATTCAAACTCTCCTTATCATTGATTTCAAACTTTTTTTTGCGACACAAAATAAAATGATACGACCAACACAAAAACGGTGGTATTTTGCAAATTAAACTTAATAATAAACATTTTCAAAGACGTTCGTTACTTTACTTAATTTGCAGCTTGAGAGGAGAGAGGAGAGTGGGAGAGAAGGAAGAGTAAAAAAAAAATAGGGCCAGGCACGTTAATGTGTTAATTTTGAGTTAACTAATCAATTCATTAACGCTGACAATTATTTTAATGCTGTTAACACAGTTTTTATTATTTATTTATTTATTTTATTGTAAAAGTCTGTTTCTCACTGTCTTTTATTCTGAAAAAGTCCACCGCGAGCGTTTCTTTAAGTTTGACATCTTTTCTTTACACTTTTTTCACTTTTTTCTGACCACGTGAGATGATGTGAGATCCGAGCCTCCGGGAGCCGCGGGTGAGGCCAGACTGCAGAACCGGAACCCGTGGCTGAGCCCGCGGCCGGGCCGGACCGACCGTGGCTCTGAGCTTCCGCAGGCTCCTTGCTTCGACCGGGCCACGTGCTCCGGTTCACGGGTCTTTGTCTTCTCCTTCTTCCAGACGCCCCTGAGTCGTCCAAATCGAGGTGTTCAGTGTGCTTTTCATCGCTGTGGTCTTGTTTACATAATGCTATTACAGAGTATTCACGAAGGTCCGGAAGATTTGGTGATATGATCCCGCCCATAACTCAATGAAATATGATTGGCTCAGACAACTGTCAATCTCAAACTTCATTCCAGCCGCCGGTTCAGTGCTGCAGGGAGAGTCACTGATTTACCCAGATACCACTGGAAGAAAAACTGTGATTGGTCCATTTCCATTCCATTATATTAACCCTTTGTTTCCCAAGAAATATCAGTCCAAGTTTATAACAATGATGATAATGACAATGATGATAACATGCGATTAATCAAGATTAATTGCGATTAATCACTCAAACTCATGCGCTTAATGCAATTAATTTTTTTAAATTTTTGCCCAGCCCTAAAAAAATATATAAAAATACAAATAAATAAATAAATAATAAAAATAATAAATCCACCACTCGTTTAACATTTAACATTTCTGCACGTTAACGAGCGATACCTTTGACATGAGGTCATCAGTATCCACTGGGGGTGAAGTTAACTGGAGGCACTGCTCTGTCTGAATCTCTGTTACTCAAGTTTGACTTTAATTTGAGTTTTGTTTTAACACAATGTGACCTGAAAGAAGTGACTTACAGTAGTTGCAGCTAAAACAAGTGAACTGATCAGCGCTGTCAAGTCCCTTTCAAATACGACTGGTCATTATCCAACACTTCACACTCACCGTTTAGAGTGAAAATCAGACACCTTAAATGGGACCAGTTTTTTGAGTTTTCATATCATTTAAAACTGATCAAGTTGTGTTTGTACATTGTGTCAACACTGTAACTGCTGAACATTCCCCCATAGACATACATACAGCCCCTCCTCAGCGTGACGTCACTGTGTAATATCAATAAATACTGTGTGTCCGGTTCCTTCCACACAGTGACCTTGTTCCTCTGAGCTGTGGTGAAGGCCTCTGGTGACCTCACGAGTCTTTACATCAGCAGCTCTGTGATCCACTGACCTGCACCGAGCCACATGTTCCACTCACACACTCCTCTGGACACCAGACACGGGCGGCACTCTAAGGCTACGTTCAGACTGCAGGGCTTAATGCTCAATTCCGATTTTTTTGTGAAATCTGATGTTTTTGCGAAGTCGTTCACATTTCCAATTAAATGTGACTTGTATGTGATCCCCTGTGTGAACATTAAACGACCTGAAAATGTCCCGCATGTGCACTGGAGACCGCAGTGAGCGTGCTCTGTGTTTACGGAAGTTGTCCAAACATGGACGCAGCATTGAGCACCTGGAGATTTTAAAGTTCCTCTCGTACCGGAGCCACAACATGAACAACTTACTTGTTGTAAGGAGGAGATTGAGAAGGAGAAGGACGAGGTTTTTGGCCGTGGCGTTGTGTGGGACGTTGAAAGTAACGTGTGGATGTGGAGATGTAGCCAAGAGTGGTGAGTGGAGATGTGCTTCACTTCAGTGACACAGAGTTCATTAACAGTTTTCACCTACTTCAGTGCAGAATAGTGACGTTTGTGTCTTGTTGATAACGTGTAAGTGGATGAATGCACTTTGGCCGTTCACAGTGAAGTCACATGTCAAAAGATCAGATATGTATCGGTTTCAGGAGCACACATCCAAGTGTCCTGGGTCACATTTGAAAAAATCGGATCTTCAGACTGTCATTAAAAGATCAGATACAGGTCACATAGAGGCCAAAAAATTGGATTTGGGTCACTTCAGGCTGCAGTCTGAACGCAGCCTTTAACTCTTTATATACAGCCACGTTCCAAACAGGAAGTTCACATGTGGCTCTTCTGGCTCCTTCTGACTCTGGCTCCCATTGACTTACACTGGGATATTGTGGCTCCTCTCTCTGTACCTGCTGCTGGCAGCCTTAATATTTTGGTCTTAAAATGTTCATGTTAACGTCCTCTACATGATCCTGGGGTTTGGTGTGGCTCTAGATTCACGTCTATAACCACCAGCATCATGATCTTTATTTGACTGGAGCTGGGCCTTATGGGTGACATCACACTCGCTTAGTCCTCGTCTTTACACAGTCTGTTATAGTTCAGATATGGAGACTATAGTTAAAAAGAGGATATTTTACTTCTATGGGACATTCATTGTAACACAAAACATATTTATATCACCGTGTCATCTTTTATTGTTACTAATTATATGAAATTTGGTGGCAAAAAAATCATTTCCAACTAAGCCTAAAATCAAAATTGATTCAAATGAAAACACTCGTTTCTCATCCACCAAATTTCTGAGCGTCATTGTTGATGATGATCTAAACCGGAAAGAGCAGCTGACTGGGTGACCAGAAAAAATGAATAAATCTCATGGTGTTATAAGAAAAGTTTATAAAGTCCGGGACTCAAAATCTATACTTATATTATACTATAGTTTCATTTGTCCCTGTCTGTCATATTGGAATAATGTCTGGACTGCAGTTGCTTAAACTAAATATTATTGGTGCAAAAATGCTTTGTTCATATTGAAACTCATTCCTGACGCCAACATCATGTGTGAATTTATTCATCAAACTGAACATTCTTAATATTTATGAGATGAATGTTTATCATATTTGTATTTTCATGTATAAAACACTTGATAATTGAAATATGATCCCTAAACATTTCACATTTTACTTGAAAGTTTTTTAGTAGTTTTTTTTTTTACATGAATCTGTATGTCATCCCCATCAGCAGCGTTGTGCATCCACACTGACTTACCGCTGACAGCGTCCGGTGAACTGAGATACTGACCAGTTTTTGTGCTGATGAAAGTAGTCCGGCAAGTTGGCTGGGGACATTAAAATAAAGTGTTTTTCTTCTCAAAACAATATGTGTTCAAAAGAGTGATACATTTGCATCACAAAACCTTTGTTCTCGAAAAAGTCAAACCCCATAAACGCTTGGCACTATTTTCTCTCCAATGCAGAGAGTCATAGAGACAAAACTTGTCAAAATTGTAATTTTCATGTCCCAAAATGTGTCACATCAAGAGCTCAGTTTTGCTTCGATACAGAGGCTGTAAATTCTGGAGCAGTTTTCACATTTGGCTAATGACGCATCAGAAGTGTTGTTTGTTTAAGAAGAGGAAATGTTTGATAATCATCATCAGTTGTGGATGTTTCTTTGTGTTTTAATCGATGTTTGAATTAAATGAATTTAATCCAAGGTCTGTAAATGTTTTTAGGATTAGGGTTAACCCTAAAATTGCAGTTCAAAATTTTTCAAAGTTGCAGGTTGAGACTTGCCTCTAGTGACTTTTCACTGAAGCATGTTTGTCATGTTGAAAAATAGCTCTGTGACATATTTTTTTTTTTTTTTACATAACTGCAAGTAAGTACAGAGGTGTGGGCGGGGATAGGGGGTAGGTGAAAACTTAAATTTTCTGAGCATTTAAGCCTCAAATGTAAAACAATGAGGTTGTAACCCGGTTGCTTGTGTGCGCAGGTCTGCACTACGGAAAAGACAGCGTGCGCAGCAGTGGAGGAGCCGACCTTCATAACTTCATCTCGTCAGGCTTCGTCACTCTGGGTCGAAGCCATCAGAAAGGTAACTGCTCTGCTCCTCATCTTCACACACAAGACACTGTCTCATTCATGCGTGTACAGTCTGGTCAATATGTCCATCAATAACACATAATCAGCTCATTCACATACGCCTACGGGGCCACACAAGAGGGCCACACCTGAGGGCCACACCCGAGGGCCATACCCGAGGGCCACACCTGAGGGCCACACCCAAGGGCCACACCCGAGGGCCACACCTGAGGGCCACACCCGAGGGCCATACCCGAGGGCCACACCCGAGGGCCACACCTGAGGGCCACACCCAAGGGCCACACCCGAGGGCCACACCCGAGGGCCACACCTGAGGGCCACACCTGAGGGCCCTCTTTTGAAACACATGGAGTCTGAACAGGCTCAAATGAAAATACAGAATGTGATTGCATCTGTTGTCTTAATGTCACAGTTACTACTACTGATACTTTGCAGCTGATTCCAAAACATTCCCTGAGGGTGAAGCTAACGGAGGCACTACTCTGTCTGAAGTTCTGTTACTCAACTTACTCTAGATTACAGTATTTTTCAGACTATAAGTCACACTTAAAATATGTTAATTTTCTCAAAAATCAACAGTGCATCTTATAATTCGGTGCCTTATGTATTAATTCTGTTTGTGTTTACTGACCTCGAACCAATTTTATGTGCTACACGGCACTCAAAAATCTGTCAGAATGTTTTAGTATGACGTTAGTAAGATACAAGTCACACCGCTTGATGGATTGTCTGAGCATTATGGCTACCAGAGTCAGAAGCCTCGCGGGATTGTCTCCTTTAGTCCGACAGAAGATGACGATCAGAATATCAGGAGCGAACTGTTTTTCTCAGCATTTATAGTTTATACAAATGAGCCATGTGGTTTTAAATTTTGTTTCTGTAAAACTTAAACAAATGTGCACAAAGCTGCATTAAAAACATTATTACTCAATGTATATTTGAGTCGTCCTCGTAGGAAAAAAATATTCACCAAGACAGGGAATTACACCACAATCTGCCCATGGCTGGAAGGATCAGTCTCAAGCGTCATCTGTTTTGCTTAATGCGTCTTATAATCCAGTGCACCTTGTGTATGAAAATAGACACGAGAATTCAACATTATTGATATATATCATATATTATAATAAAGTGTGTTTTATAGTCCAAAAAATACAGTAATCTGAGTTTTGTTTTAACACAATCTGACCAAAAAGAACTGATTTCATTGTAGCTAAAACCTGTGAGCTGATTTTGAACTGTTGAGCAAGTCCCTGCGTCGTCATTGTCATTTCTGCCATAGACATACATACACTACACCCCCAGCGTGAAGTCACTGCAAAGTATCAAGTATCAACTTCTTTAAAAAAAAATTTATTGTGATAATTTTTATATTATTTTTAAAGGTGCATTATATATTTTGTTTGTTTTCGGCTTGTCTCTGTGGAGATAGATCTCTTCCTGGAATGTTTGACACTAAACGCTGTAAAGTTTATTAGTTTTATTCCACAAATACACCTACAAAAACATACATTTTCCTCCACAGATCTGACTTGGCCTGGTGGAGTCATCTGCTTATGTTCACGCAGATAGATAAGTTAATATTGGAGAACATTCCAGTAACATCTCCATGGTTACAAGCCGGTGTTGTACTCTCCTCCAGCAAAGTTACATAGTGTTGCTTTAATGTTGAAAATACAGGAATGGCAGCTGCGAGAGTGTGTCATCTTGAATCTCTGACATTACAGTACTGGTGTTGTTGAGCTTGCTAGTTATTGCAGTTTTTTTGCAGTTGTCTGTCCTGCTTCGACCTGGTTTGGGGGTTTTGGGTGAGATCTACGTTAGTCCCACGTTTAAAGTGCATATGACAGGTCAGACTGAAAAATGGACTAAAGCACAGTTCACGTAATTATAGACAAGAACTAGTTTAATCGTTTGACAATTTGGTTCAGTTTGCAGTTGTACTTCCTGGTTGTGCACGGGAAGCCTCGGAGCATAATCATAATAAGTAATTTTAAAGTGTTTTGGGAAAATACAAAAATAAACGACGGTTTGTGCTTTCTCATCTGTAAAAAATCATTCTGATTGGCCGAAGACAAAGCCAGTGACATGCAGAGCTGCAGAACGTTCTAGAGAATAGACTCTATTCACACTTACATCACAAACCAGGAAGACATTTGGAAACCTGCGATGACAACTTCCAGCACTGGGCTCGCCGAACGACTGTGATAAAACCCACTGAAGTAAATGTGATCAGCAGTAAAATGAAGACTGCAGATGTATGTGCTGTTTGGAATCATCTGGAATTTAACGCCCTCATCTCTTCTAATCACATGTACCAGTGTGCTCGGAGTTGTGTGTCAGTGGAGAAATTATGAAAACTGAGGTGTGGTTGGAACTGTTGAATAAGTGAAACATAACAGGACACTACAATGACATTAAAATGAAGAAAACTGGGCCTGGGAAGTTGTATTCGCATCTTTTCAAACCTCTGTCTGGGTTGTGACGTGAGTGTGAATAGAGAGTATAGAATAAGAAAACTCCGTTTGGCCAAAACATGACTTGGACATGTATGCTCTGAGTTCTGTGTTACATAAGTAGAGGTAATCCCATAACTGTTACTTAGCAACCATTAGGTTAACAAGGGCCAAAGCTTTCTAATTTACACAATATTTATGATCTGACAATACAAAAATACACCATATTGTTAGGCGTGTTCTATCAAAAATTACTAGACTCAACAAATTACAAAAATGTATTCCCCTGCCAATACAATTCTAATACAGAGCTCTGGGTCAAATCACTGTCCCTGATGGCCTCCACTTACGCAGGTCTTACGCCAGGCAATCTGACTCCCTGACTGTCCCTCAACCCAGTTTATAAAACACAACAGTATGAATATGCATATAATATGTTGAGCAGGTTCACGTCCTTGAAACATCAGCATTTCTTCTTTGGGGGAAGTGACAACCCCCTCCAAACCATTGTAGATCACACCAAGTCTTCTTAGATAACTCCAGCCTGGGTTATCTCCAAAGCCTTATCTGCAAAGGAATGTCCCTAAAAAACACACATCTGTTTCCCATTATTTAGGACACACAGAGCGTTACCTTTAAACATTAAACAATGTTCAACTCAATGTATTAAACAATATTCAGACCACCACTTGATACAGCCTTCAATATATATAATATTCTTAAACTTAGACTTAGACAAACTTTATTGACCCACAAGGGAAATGATTTGGACACTCACACATCACAATAAAATAGAATAACAAAGAGTAAAAATATAAATGGTGATAATACATTTTAAAATTAAAACTAAATAGTAGCAAAAATAGCAAGAAACTGGTGTCAAATAAGGCAAAATTATATAATGTAATATGTACAAGTAAAAATAAAATAAAATAAAATATAGAAATAAAGTAACCCTGTATCAGTTCGCTGTGAGATTTTGTCCAAGGCTCCGCTCCCAAACCTATGTCATTCATGCTCCCACATGACAATCTACGTACATATTTGTAGTTTTGTATCATAAGCATGATACAAAAACTGTACACAGCAACCAGACAAACCTGATGTGATGTGCAATAGTTTCATGAGCGGGATGCACGCTGATTGTGTTGTGATAGTGCTCTAAAGGGGGAGTGACTTAGTGCAGAGAGCAAAGGGCATGTGGAAACATATAAAACATGTTAATACGTTGTTTTCAGTGACTATAGCATTTACAAAACAATAAAAGGTAACATGGTGATCTAAATATGTTTCAACAGTAAAAATACCTCCTTTCAAATGAATGTTTAAACTGACAGAAACTGATGACATAGATAGAAGGATTCCTTTTGTGGAAGTGTGGAGTAGAGGTCTGCATGGGAAAAAATGTTCAGTCCGCTCCACCTGCTAAGAAATGTCATTTTCAGTCCCGCTCCCTCCCTCATCTGCAATATTTTGTCCCGCTCCTGCCCACAAATCCTGCACGATGGGAACGTTCTCTTTCTTAATGTCGAACACGGAGAAGCAGAAAGAAATTGTCTAAAATGTGTGCGAGATTAGACCACGTCCACAAGTTTAGGCTGCTTAAAATGTTTATATCAAGGCCAAATAAAATATCCAGCACAAATGATGTATGACAAATATGAATCATTTGTATATTTTACTTTACACTCATATTTAGTTCACGGGACTACAGTTCATCATCCCACCCACCTCCTCCCACACTGTCCAGTCCCACTCCCGCCCATCACCCACAATGAGCAAAATGTGTCCCACACCGCACTGTTTTGCATTGAGTCCCGTTTGCATAAGGCCTGCAGGAGTGAGGGCTCTAGTGTGAAGAATAGGCGGGGGAAAAAGTATTGAAATATCGATATATAGTATTGTTTAATGTGATCATACAGTATTGATATTGCGGCTGCTGTATTGATATTTCACCAAGAGTTGTTTTTTTTTTGTATATTTTACTCTATTCTTTTGTTCCAGCTACAGTTTTGTTGTTTGTTCAGAGGAAAGAAACTGGTTTATGCGACATATTTGATATTTTCACTGTTTTGATGATTAAAATGTTTGTGTTTCATATGAACTTTGCACAAGAAGTGGTTTAACAAAGACTTTTAGTTTCACAGTCATGATTTAGACTTTATTTTTTATTGAACCACATCGAAATTGATTTGAAATAAATCGCATTGAATCGAAAGTGCACTGTATCGAGATATGTATCGTATCGGCAACTTCTTAATGATACCCAGCCCTGGTGAAGAAGAAAGAATTACAGCAGGAGTGGGCAAACTTTTTGACTCGAGGGCCACAAAGGGTTCTAAAATTTGACGGAAGGGCAATCCACCTCATAAGAGGAAAAAAAACAAAAAAAACAAAACATAGAGCATATGTAGAAAACCAGTGTTATTGTAATAGTCCATAATTGAAAATCATTCCAAAGCATTGGAACAAAATATCTGTCTTTCAAGTCCCATTGTATTTACTATTTATTGAAATGACTTTTAAAACACTGAAAATT